CGTGTGCAGAGAAAAGGAATGAGGAAGAGTTTCGGGGTGGGTTGGAACGGGTTGAAACCAAGGGCAAGAGACCAGTAGGGGGTTAGGGTAGAGGCCTACACCTCGAGCCCTTTCCAGCCCCTCCGGGACCCTAGAGCCACCTGCAAACCCCTGCCACTCTCCTTCTTGCTGGAATTCGGGAGCCACGGCAGGCAGGTGTCCTCTGGGCCTCCGCTCCCACCCGCAGAGGCCTTCTCTCCTGCGGGTGACACCTTGCTCCTGGTGCCTAGCTTCCATTCTTCCACCAAGATTGACCCCCTTCTGCTCCCCTTTGTTTATGCTGCCTTAGAACTTTCTGCCTGAATCTCATATTTTAGTGCTTTCTTATATTTAATAAAGGTTTATTCAATCAGCAAATCCTTATTGATTGAGTGGCTACTAAATGGCACGCACTGTGCTGCCCTGTGGACGTAGCAGGGGGAGACGGACAGTAGCGGGTTATTGGGGAAGTGCTGTAAAGTGACATTTACGGCACTGTAGATGGAGACTAACTGGTGTCGAGGGATGCCTGTCTGCGGCGGTGACAATTAAGCTGAGGTTTGAAGGATGAGAAGGAGGCGGCCATCCGAGCGCCGGTGCAGGGAGCCTTCGAGGCAGCAGCACAACACTGCACGAAGACTCTAGGTCCAGGAGGAGCCTAGAAATGGAAATGGAAATGACAGTGGAGAGCAGAGCAGGGAGGTCCTGAGGGTCACGGAGGGATTCAGGGTTCAGCGGGGAGCCTCTGCGGGGCTGAGAGCAAAGGGAGAGGCGGTCTTTCTGCTCGGGCAGCTGTGCGGACAGCGGATGGAGGACGGAAGGACGAAAGGAAAGACCCGCCGGGGAGCTCCAGGTGCAACGGGGTGGCCAGGGCCAGAGGGGTGGCGGTGGAGGTGGAGAGTCGGGGCCGGGCCGAGAGATACTCGGGGGCGGCCACATTGAGGCCTTGGTGGTGAGGATGAAGGGAGCGGAGGGGCTCGGAGAGCATCCCGGGTTCCCAGCATGGGGAGCGGGCGGGAGGGGCCGGGATCCCATTCAGCGAGATGAGCCTGGCAGAGACAGGGACCCGTTGCCGCTGGGGAGGGGAGGCCGAGGAGAAGACGTCCCTTGCGAACATACGAAGTTGGAGGCGACTGTGAGTCATTCCCATGGAGGTGCTGGGCCTTCAGAGTGGAAGTGCGGAGCAGAGAAGAGTCCAGCGTGGAGATGGACGTTTGGAAATATGAATGGAATGTGGACGTGGGGCTGCCATACAATTCCTCTGTCAGCTTCCTGAGGCCGCAGAAACAGTCCCCGCAAAACACAGGACTGACCGCAACAGCTATTTACTCTCCTGCTGTCCTGGTGGCTAGAAGTCTGAAATCAAGGTGTGGGCAGGAACATACTCCTTCTGACGCCATTTGGGGAAGATCCTTCCTTGCCCCTTCCACCTGCTGGTGGCCCCAGGCACTCCTCGGCTGGTGGCAGTATAACTCCAGTCTCTGCCTTCATCTCCACGCGACTGTCTCCCCTCTGCGTCTGTGTCCCTGTTTCCCTCTTCCTGTAAGGACACCTGTCCTGTTGGCTTAAGGGCTCACCCTACTCCAGTGACATAATCTTCACTAGTCCCATCTGCAATAACCCCGTCCCCAAATAAGGTCCCGTTGTGAGGTACCGGGGATTAGGACTTCAACATGTCTTTTTTGGCATTTGATACAACTCAACCCATAACGGTTAACCCAGAACAAAGATGAAAAGAGAGGAGACCAGGGGTCCAAGGGCTTTGCCGTCCCACAGCAGCTGGCTAGAGGACAAGCCAGCAAAAGAAACGGAGAGGCAGGACAGCTGTGGGAGCGTATGGTGTCGTGAAAACCACACTGTGTGTTTCAAAACGGGACGAATGTCAACCGTGAAAGAAATACACAGCTCTCGGGTCAGAGAGGGAAGTTGACCCGTGGATGCGACATGACAACGTGACCCTGGGGGTTCGGATGGGCGTGGCCCCTGAGTGGAGACCCCCTCAGTGGAGTCCAGTAGGAGACAGGTGGCAAGACGGGAGGTGGGGGGGGGGGGGGAGCACAAAACAGTGGAATTGCAGGAGACCCCCGTGAGGTTCGGAATAGGGCGACACCTGCAGGGACACGGAGGGCTGGAGAAAGGACTTGCTTATGTGTTTGCTTCGCTTTGTTCTTGTGTGCTGTTTTAGTTCTTAAAATGGGAGATGCTGGAGCATGTCCGTATTGCTTGAATTCGCTCTGTCTTCGTGTCTGCAGGTTTGGCTTGTATACCAGTAGTATATTCGACCTCATTTGTCACGTGTGCTGGTGTTGGCGTCCAGCACTGGGGCCCCTAGGGGACAAGACTCCGTCTTCTATTTCTTTTGTCCCCCGGCCATCTAGCCTGACACTTGAGCATTTGTTCATTATGGTCACAGCAAGAAAACTATCCTGCTGTACATACCCCGGTGCCACGCATGGCTACCACTTCACGTTCTAACAGAAAACAGGTAGAGGGACGCCTGGGTGGCCCAGTCAGTTAAGCGTCCGACTTCAGCTCAGGTCATGATCTCATGGTTGGTAAGATGGAGCCCCACATCAGGCTGTCTGCTGTCAGCACAGAGCCTGCTTGGGATCCTCTGTCTCCCTCTTTCTCTGCCCTTCCCCCATCCTTGAAATAAATAAACTTAAAAAAAAAAAAAAGAAAAGAAAAGAAAATGGACCGAGAGCCGTCTTCATAGGCCCTATTCACATAACGTCAGTTGACAAAAACCATGGCTGGTGTTTCTTGCCAGAGCACGTCACTGAAGCGTCACCCTTGTGTGTCGGGTTCTGTCTTGCACATCCTCGGGGAACAGAAGCCAGGAAACGGATTTCCACGGGTTCCAAGTGGCCTGCTTAGGGGCATGAGAACCAGGTGATTAACCTGATAGGAAGGTTGGCCCCATGGTCGAATCCAGAGATGTCCCCGTGAGACCAGCCCAGGCTGTGTTCCTAAGACCCGACCTGGAGGCTACGAGGGGCAAGGGTCCCGGTCACAGGAACAGGGAGACAGAGGTGCGGAGAAGCTTGTCCTGTGTCAGCAGCCTGCCCGAGGGGGGCTTCGCGGGAACCGGGACAGGACATCTTCTCCAGAGAAGGGGTGTGAGTCTGCATGTGGGAGGAGGCAGGTGGACACGCCGACCCTGGAGCAGAGAAGGCAGAATGGAGGGCAGGTTGTGACACACACGAAGTAAGAGTGTGTGGTTTTCTCTGTCATGTTCTTTTCGGATACCCCCTTCTCTTCCAAGGGATGTGTTGTTGTTGTTGTCATTGTTGTCGTTGTCGTTTAAATAATCCACAACACAGGACAGTCCAGCAGAGACGTACCTGGAACCAGCACGGGCATCCCTGGTGCGGCAGCGCCACAGGGGCGACAGCAGCATCCCGTGTTCCCGCGCACAGTCAGCACCTGGGATGGGAGGACACAGAGACCACAGAGCTAGGGTGCAGCGCCAGGCTGAGCCTCCATGCCAGCAGTGAGCTGAAGGTTAAGTAGGGCCAGTGGCAGCTTGCACCCCCCCCCCCACACGCACCCAGAGTAACTCCCTCCCGCCAAGCCTGGGAAGAGACCCACCCAGCCCTGGACTCTGGCAAAAGGATGTCGTGCACCCAGACTGATGACCAGGGCACTCTAGAAGCACCCGGCAGCAGTGCTGAGTCTCCAGCCCTAAGAAAGCGAGGGAACTCCTTCTTCCGAAAAACCAAGACGTTGTGACAAAACATGTTGGGTTTTGTTTTTCGACGTTGTTATCTAGAGAAACAAGATCAGCAACGAGAGCAAATGTAAAAGAGTAGCATAGGGAGATGCTTTCTGAAGTGGGGGAGATTCAGCTTGACGCTCCCAAGACGAGTGGGGCTGTTTTGGCCGCAGCCTCGCTCCTTCCTCCTGTGCTAGCTGGTGAAGATCACCCAGACAGAGCCGCCTCCCCAGCTCCCACTGCTCACGTGCCAGGCTCCTGAAAGGGTAGGAGAGTGGCATCTTCTGGCATTGCTTAATCAAGTGGGAAATTTACAGAGAAAACAGAAGCTGGGCTAATGCATTTCATTATCAGCCGAGCGCCTTGAGCCACGTTTTTTCAAAGCTGGGTTCATATCTCATACATTTGAGCGTGGTTTTCTCCAAAACGTACCCCTACTTCATCATGACACGTTCTCGGAAAAGAAAGGGCGCCGTGTGGTCTCCTTGGTTTTCGTTACTAACTGCGTGTGAAAATTTCCCTCTGAGTTTAGGTGGTTTCCTCCGGAAGCTCCAGCATGTAACCTTGTCTATCGTGTGAAGGGACATGATCCCACAGGCAGGAATGGGTTTATAATGGAGTTCTGACTGGTACCCAGACTATAGACTCATGAACGGGGTTGTATAACTGAAATATTTGAAGACATTTTAGGAGACTAACTTTTTCAGAAGCTGATGATAAAAAATAATAATAATGTTTCCTGACAAAAGTGTGATTCAGACTCCTAAGAAGGGGGATCATTGACATTAACAAATATTGGATTTAATCCCCTTGTTCTGGGTAGAGGCGACCTGTTTTCTATATTGCTGAAAATAGAACATTTATATTTCAGAATTCCTTTGTAAAAACTGGGCATTCGCTATGATTGGTTTCCTGGGTTTTCAGTTACAAAAGGTAACTCCCAGGTATCTCTAAAGCGGTTATTAGCTCATCCGACTGGAATATAATGGTAATGAAGTCAATGGACGTGGTTCCCTTAGATCTCTTCTAGAGCCACAGATCTACCCTTCATCTCAGCCAGTCGTCTGACCATGCTCCCTGCCGACAGGGAGGACCAAGCCCAAGAATGGAGGGATCACTGCCACACAGTGCAAGAACCACAGGCCCTTTAGAGGGGAGCAGTAATGGCACCCCAGATTTGAAAGATAGGGTTTTATGTGGAATTTATACACAAATTGCTACCTGCACTTTCAAGTTGCTAATGATTTCTCTCGTTCTTCCTTTGCAGGGCCCCTGAAATCATCCTTGGTCTACCATTTTGTGAGGCAATTGATATGTGGTCCCTGGGCTGTGTCATTGCTGAGCTTTTCCTGGGCTGGCCACTCTATCCAGGAGCTTCTGAGTATGATCAGGTGGGTCCAGATAGCTCAGGTGTTCACAGTAAGCACGTCCTTTATAACATGACCTGTGGGTGGGATTGTGGGGTGTTTCCTTGTCTCTGAAACCTTGCTTCCCATAACTGCTTTTCTCTTATTCCTCTTTCTTTCCCCTCTTGCTTCTATTACTTCTTTCTTTCCCTATAAAATTGTCATTTTTCTCAAAGGCACTAGAGCCATTAGTATACCATATGTCCAGTTACAGGAAACGCCCTGACCTCATTCTCCTCTTTTCTTGCAGATTCGGTATATTTCACAAACACAGGGTCTGCCAGCTGAATATTTATTAAGTGCAGGGACAAAGACAACTAGGTTTTTCAACCGTGACACGGATTCACCGTATCCTTTGTGGAGGCTGAAGGTAGGAAGAACGTCCCCACCACTCCTCACCCACGCCCAACACTCAGGGAAGAAGGGCACCATCCAGTTGGCGGGGAGCTCTTGCCATTGCCACACTGATCCTACTTTGATTCGGCCAAAAGCCCGGGAGAGGGGGCGACCGTTGTTGATCCATGAGGTAGACGAATTCGAATGTCCAAAAGAACCGCTTTGTTTGGCCAGCTGCCTGCGAAGCTCAGATCCCAAGTTCTGGTGGCTAAACTCCTGGGATGAAATCCCAGTGAACCATAATGACTTGTCGGGTGTGTGCTAGAGAGAGAAATGAGCCCCACCTTGTCCTCGAGGAGCTCCTATTCCAAGGACGCATGCAGGGAGCCCCCCACCCCTCCACCCCGCCGTCACAAGTGCCCCGTTGCTGGTAGGGGTAGAGTGTGGGGCCAAGAGGAGGGAACCAGAGGGTCAGGAGGAGCATTTGAGCTGGGCCCTAAAGGGGGAAGAGTGTCCTCCAGGCAGAGGAAATGGCCTCGGAGAGATGACGTCCTAAGGCTCCGGGAGGGGTCTGTCTGTCCCGGTCGGCAGGTGTGTAGCACATCACTGCACACTGTCAACTCCCGAGTGGTTTTACTTTAATGCAAACGTATTTTGCTTTCACTTTGATCTGTGCCTAGCAAGGAAAATTAGTGTATTTTCCTGAGAAGGAGAAGATAATGCAAGTCTTAAGTATGCTTTGTGTTCATTTTAGGTGGTTTTTTTTGTTGTTGTTTTTTGGGGGGTTTTTTGACAAGAGAGTGGGTGGGGGTTTTTTGTTTGTTGGGGTTTTCTTTGTTTGTTTATTTGTTTGACAAGAAACCACAGCCAAATTCTAATAGGATTTAAACATAACGTGTGGCCAATAGTTGCAGAAGATCTAGAAAAGAGATTTGAGAGCTAAGCAAGCACTCCGAGGCTGTTGATGAGGGGGCTGGCATTCGACAACTGTGAGAGCTAGCAGCTCAAGGTCACGTCCAGTAAAAAAGAGTTCGAGGGTGGAGGAGGGTGAGGCCAGGCAGGGGCAGGGTTCACTTTTATGTCTTCCTCTGGAGCCTCGGTCCTCCTTGTCCAGCTGTTTCCGGGATCAGAGCCTGGATCCTAGCAGCTCCTGGTATGCCCTCCTTGAGTGACAATGTGAGCATCCATGGATGCATCCAGAAACCCACAGTAACTGGAGACAGCAGCTTCCTAGACCAAGGCCAGTGCAGGGCACGTGCATGGTCCAGCCTCAGGCAGAGGGGCAGCACAGAACAGACGCTGGGGCCAGATGCTGCTTCCCGGCCACGCGGCCTTGGTACACTCCTGGAGCTTTCTCTTCCTGCTTCTTCCCTGGAAAGTGGGTCGGTGTTTGTCCTCCCTAGGATGGTTGTCAGGAGTACCGAATGAGTTCTTGTGCTTTACAATAGTGCCTGGCATGCGGTGACAGCTATCTGTATGAGAGCTTGAGAAATAAAATTAAATTACAACTTAAAACCATGTGGAAAAGGGCTTCTGCTTTTCCACTTGTGGAATCTTACCTTATCCCTTAAACTTAGGGGAGAATGTAGGGTTTTCAGGGATATGGCATATCTTGGCCATCTTGGAACCTTCTGGATATGATTCAGAGCAGGCTCTCGACAGGTCTTTGTGGGAAGGAGAGAAGAGAGATGAGTTAGTGTGGAGGACGAGTTAAGTGTGCAGGGCACTTTAAGAAGAATCCGAGTGTCCTCTGAAAGATGGGAAAAAGACCCTCCGTGAGAAGCAGAAACCAGGGTTTGAGTCACAGTGAACAGGAAATAATTCACATGACCACTCAGCTTTTGCGTCTTTTGACCAGACACCAGATGACCATGAAGCAGAGACGGGGATTAAGTCGAAAGAAGCAAGAAAGTACATTTTCAACTGTTTAGATGATATGGCCCAGGTAAGCCCCATGGGTGAGTATGCAGTCCTACCCCTTAAAAACCAAGCACAGCAAGAGTTCTGCATAATAGAAGATGGCGGGTAGAAATTCACATTACTCACCTGCGGTGGTTGATCTTGACCTTGAACAATGATAGGTCACTCCTAGTAAGAATAGCATTGGGTTGGTGCAGCATTTTCAGAACCTTACAGCCGCCCTTTACTGGTTCCCATTTGTAAAAAAAAAAAAAAAGAAGAAAGAAAGAAAGAAAGAGAGAGAGAGAAAGAAAGAAAAAGGAAGGAAGGAAGGAAGGAAGGAAGGAAGGAAGGAAGGAAGGAAG